CTTCGTGTTTCAGGCGGGTGTATAGCTCTGCCACCGTTCCAAATTTTCTTGCGATAATGTCCATGTCGTCCGCAAAGCACACAAATTGACCGGATTTCGTGAAAATCGTACCCCAGCTGTTGAGCCCGGCTCGTCGCATAACACCTTCTAGAGCGATGTTGAAGAGTAGGCATGAGAGTCCGTCACCTTGTCGCAGTCCCCGGCGAGATTCGAATGAACTGGATAGTTCACCCGAAACCCTTACGCAGTCCATCGTTGCTTTGATCAGTCTGATCAGCTTCCCAGGAAAGCCGTTCTCGTCCATGATTTTCCATAGCTCTGTGCGGTCGATTCTGTCGTATGTCGCCTTAAAGTCAATGAACAAATGATGCGTTGGCACGGAATTTCTGGAGGATTTGCCGTACGGTGAAGATCTGATCCGTTGTAGATCGGCCGTCAATGAAGCCGGCTTGATAACTTCCCACGAACTCGGTCATTTTAGGTGATAGACGACGGAAGATGATCTGGGATAGCACTTTGTAGGCGGCATTCAAAATGGTGATCGCTCTGAAGTTCTCCCATTCCAAATGGTCGCCTTTCTTGTGAATGGGGCAGATTACCCCCTCCTTCCACTCCTCCGGTAGCTGTTCTGTTTCCCAGATCCTGACTATCATCCGGTGCAGGCAGGTGGCCAACTTTTCTGGGCCCATCTTGATGAGTTCGGCTGCGATACGATCCTTACCAGCTGCTTTGTTGTTTTTGAGCTGCTGAATGGCATCCTTAACTTCCCTCAGCGTGGGAGATGGGTCAGTTCCGTCCTCTGCTGCACTGACGTAGTCGTTTCCTCCATTGCGCTGGTCTCCCGTGCGCATCGAAGTGTTGCTTCCACCTTTCAATCACCTCACGTCCGTCCGTCAAGAGGCTCCCGTCCTTATCCTTGCACATTTCGGCTCGCGGCACGAAGCCGTTGCGGGATGCGTTGAGCTTCTGGTAGAACTTCCGTGTTTCTTGGGAACGGCACAGCAGTTCCATTTCTTCGGAACGTTTTGGGCGCAGTTTGACCATCACCAGGTAGTGGTCAGCGTCGATGTTAGCGCCACGATAGGTGCTGACGTCGATAATGTCGGAGAAGTCCCGTCCATCAATCAGAACGTGGTCGATTTGCGATTCCGTCTGCTGAAGTGATCTCCAGGTGTAACGATAGGGGAGGCTGTGTTGTAAGAAGGTGCTACGTATGGCCATGTTCTTGGAGCCGGCGAAATCGATGAGTCGTAGGCCGTTCCCGTTCGTCAGCTGGTGGGCGCTGAATTTTCCAATCGTCGGTCTGAATTCCTCCTCCTGGCTTACCTGAGCGTTAAGGTCTCTTATGATGATCTTGACGTCGTGGCTTGGGCAGCGATCGTACTCGCGGTCGAGCTGCGCGTAAAATGCGTCCTTGTCATCATCAGTACTTCCGGAGTAAGGGCTGTGCACGTTGATTATGCTAAAGTTGAAGAATCGACCCTTGATCCTCAACCTGCACATTCTTTCGTCGATCGGCCACCAACCGATCACGCGCTTCTGCATTTCGCCCATCACGATGAAAGCTGTGCCCAGCTCGCGTGTGTTGCCGCAACTCTGGTAGATGGTATGATTACCTACGTTCGCACCATGGATCCTATCCAACACACCTCCTGCAGCGCTACGATGCCGAATCCGTGGTCCTTCAGTAGATTGGCGAGTATTCGGGTGCTCCCGATGAAATTGAGAGATCGACAGTTCCACGTGCCGAGTTTCCAATCGCAAGTCTTATTTTGTCGCTGTGGTCGTTGCCGTTGGTCTCGGTTTGTATTCCTCTATTGCTGATTTTCCATTGCAATACTTTTTTACGGCTGGCTCGCAGGGCCTGACACCAACCCCCTAACTTTCCGGAAGACCAGGGTGCACAGTTGTGCTTAGAGTCCTTCACTGGCACTCGGACGTAGATCAGCCGCCCCTAACATGGGAAACAGATGCTGTTATGAGCCGCTCCTCCTGGATAACAGACGCTCAGGCTTGCCGAAGCAAACCCTCCCCCTTCCCTGTCAGCCTATGACCAAAGTTCCCACCGGGGTTGGTTACCCGATCTTCCCTAAGGTTGCTCACAGTTCCCAGCCGGTACCACGGGGAGGTAGGGATAGGAGTTGCTGGGAAGAGGCTAGTGATCTCAATGGGATCTGTATTGTGCATTACCCAGCATTAATCAATCACCGATTTCCTGAAAAAAGCACTTTCCCTAACACAGATTTAAACATTGCATTCCATCCAGTCTCGCCGAACGGTCTAGTAAGTGTTGTTGTCTGGTCGTCGTCAGCAGCAGCATCAGTACACAACAAAAAGCTCCCCATAAGCAGCTAGCTATCAAGGCTGCCCTCAAAAGCCCTCAATTCACCGAAGAGGGGAAAGAAGCCGCACCGCTGCTGATCGGATTCAGTAGCTCGTCTGTGGGCCATCCATCCCATTCGTTCCAAAAAACTTATTGCTCACCAGCCTCATCCGTGTTGAAGACCCTAATAGCTCAGCATTACTCAATTATCACGACAAACCGGTCTTTTTCAGGACCACCATAGGTTATTGTTGTTTAAGAGTTAATTTTCATTGAACGTTCGCTCGCCTTGCTGCTACACGCAAACCAAAAATCTATTACAATGGATGTTAGTTCCGTTTCCTATCATCCTCTGTTCATGAACATCGCAACGAATGTTAGAAATTGACCATGCAGGCGATGTAATGGTTTTTTGTCTTTTTTATTTCGTGTTCTATCTACGCTTTCGACTATACCAGTAAGCTTGTAGAACGACGCACATTGTAGAACATTGTAGAACAACGCACACACTTGCCTCGAATCTCTCCAGCAGAAAAAGCATACGAAGTCGAGTATGCGAGAAAATGAGCGCTTCATGTTTGCTTTTAGGCTATCCATATTCAGAAGCATGGAGAGAGCAGTGGAGAAAGCAGAGGTCTGATCATCGCAACGTTCGTGGTTCGAGTCCAGTCGGCAATCTGTTTCCTATTTGTGTCGACATAGCTAATTTACCTCACTAATACACTCTACATTTTTCGGTCTTCAATTTTCTTGCATTAGACCGCAGCTATGTATATCGTATCCTCGGTTCATGCGGTCTCCACTAACATCCTCTGATGATGAATCCCACATAATTGTAAGCGAATCTTACATGCCCCGGTTGGGTGTAGCCACATCACCCCCAAAGCTCTTTGATTATGTACCCAGCAAGTGGTGCATTGAAATTCTCGCAATGACCGAATACCACATGACCTTATTTTAGCGAGAAATTCCTCCAATCAATTTTCGCTTTTTTATTATCTATTGAATAAAAAAAAAATTGCGTAATTTGGTCATCACAAAACGAAGCGTTTCCGTGATGGAAAAAAGTGGTTTCCCCAAGGGGTAAGTCACTCAGCACATTGTGCCGAAATTAGATTAGGCACAGCTTGGGCACTTCCATCATCACACCTTCGGCACAATCTAATAGGCATTGAATGTTCTAGGAATTCTAGAGGTACCAGACTTTTTGAAATTCACCAAGAGATGGCTAAGTTGTGCCATTGCAAACTTGCCGTTACACGCTTTTCGGAGGCTTCGTAGTCGGCGTAAAGTTGTGTACCCTATTCGGAGTGTTAAACAGGACTGGATATCAAACCCAGCTACCTTCAGCATAGTTTTGCTCCATACCTGTGGTTTAAACGAGTGAGCTAAGTCAATGACATTCAAATAAAAAAAAACCTTAATAAAAATCGACGCCGATATTTATGATTCTAAATTCTCTATAAAACGATCAGCGTAGTTTATGGACAGACCCAAATCAGCTGTCATGCCAGTTTCATCTACCTGATATGATGTTAGGCACTATCTACAGACCACAAGACCAATTTTTAAGATCTTTTAAACCCCACCCGCAAAGGGACGTAAACAAACATCAATACAAATATATTACATTTAGTATGGACTGTGGATATTCGTCAACCTCTCTTACCCCTTAATCTGCAACTTCCCTTTCTTGTTAACTCACCTAAGACTGAGTAAAGTTTTCATCAATTTTCCGGCAGATTTTTGAGGTTTTCCACAGCAAACCACGAGGCAAAATTGGCGATCATGAGTAAGCTTAACTCAAATTTGCGTCGTTATCATTCGCCGTGTAGAAAGTTTTCAAAAAAGTAGCCCATGAATCAATCCCCCTTCCGATTGAAAACACCGGCAGCAGATCTCCCACCACCGTTAGAGAACATCATCTTTCCATTATCTTATCAGCACGACTACTATGGCATGGGGCCTTACCCAGCACCGATCACCGATTGCTTGTACTCAGCCACTTGTACTTGTCAGTCCGGGTCGTCCACCACCATATCGGTTCCTGCCATCAACTCCATCGAATCGCAATCAATTCCGTCTCGCTCCCGTCAGTACTGGAAGGAGGTTGACAGGGAATTGTAGTTACAGAACACAGACATTATCTCGCCAAACGGGAATCACCATCTGCAGACACAGTCCACTCTTTATCAGCCGACTAGTTTAGTGCCGCTTGTGAGCGATATCGGAGTGTCTGTTTGCACAGTCCAGTGGTGAAACGGTGAGAAAAGTGAAATTTCCCCCACGGGAAATCTCGGTGGTTCAATCGCTTAAGAGCTGAGTGGACGTAAATCAAGGAAGAAAATTTAACACGGAAATCCTATTGGGAACGAAACCTCTCGCTGCGGTGGGGCAAACGAAGACGAAGAGCCACAGACCGCCACAGAGCAATTTATGAAATCCACTCGAGTGGAAAACTCACATTTTCCAGAGGAAAAACCGTCGACGGCTGCCAGGCGTGAAACTGAAGAAAAACGTGAATTTGATTACTGGGAAAACGTGTGAGAAAACGGCATACCTTCTGGTCCCGGTTTTTTTTTCAGAACGGAACGACGGGATCACGAAGACGGATAAAATCTTCCCATCGGTGCATGCGTGTGTGTGTTTGAGATGTAATTCTATCAAAACAGTGGAAGGTGGCGATATGCACTGAATCGAGAAATAAGGTTCAATTTTCCGGAAGCGATCATAAAAGTGTGCGTGTGACTGTGCAAAGTCTGACCAATTGAAGAAGAAGAAGGACCGGAGGATTTCCACTCTAAAGTTAGCCACCCACATCAACCCAATCAACCTTGGGAGCCCGCCCAAATGCCGTTCTTTACGATCCCCATCAGTCGTCTGCTGCCGTTGGTGCTGGTTCTACTGATGGGACCGGATCTTTCCCCAGTTCACGGTTGGTTAGAGTTTATATTTTTCTTATTCACATGCCGTTTCTTTCTCGTGTCATTGCATTGTACCATCAGTAAATCGGATCAAGCGGGCGCGGAAATCAGGGTCAGGATTTGGGATGTGTGTAAAAATTTTACCGTGGATCATCATGCGGGCGAGTGAGGGATCAAATTGTATTATGGCGAGTGATTTTGAAGTGCGTTTTAAGTAAATTTAGATGGGATATCCTTTTTCACTCGCGATCCGGGCCCGGGTCGTATTGGTTTGAGTCGTTAGGAAATTATGAGGGTTTCTCTTTGCACAAAAGGTAGGCTTTTCTTGTTGTCAAACCGTGCGTGAAATTCTTTTCTATTGAGTACCTTCGTATTTGAAGTATTATTGACGGTTGATGTCCCTTGATTGAAGATGGCGGATATTTTACGGTTATATGTAAGGCAGGGATTCAAAGATGTCTTTATCATGACACAATGACGAGCCAACTAATAATGGGTGATCAGTAGACTGATGCAAAATTTGACTTTTTCGCTCCACAGTGCTTAAATGGTTTTAAATTGGGTCCTGATTAGCCTCTCAAAGTTACAACTCATTTGGTTAGAAACAGACTTCGCACAAGCCATTTGAAGTTTACATGTAAATTACCATGGGAAATCTCAACTTTTTGTTCATTGCCTTCTAGTCTTTTTCCATATTGAGCTGCGAAACAGTTCGATAGCCATTCTTATAGAAAATTTTCTCAGCTAAAACTTTGCTGAATATTGTTTCTATGTAAAACGAGACAGGTAAAAGTTATTAATTATTTAAGAGATTGGTAAACTTATGACATGATCAAGCACTGTATTTTGCAGTGTGACATAGTAGCCATGATTTGTGTGTCCTATTCAACGCCCCAGAAACACCAATGTTGCCTGCTGAGCAGTTGATTGAGCATGATCATAAGACATCAGCGCATTGAACCATTGATAACTTTCGAACCTTGCATTTAATCAAAAAGTGATTTTTAGCAAAGTTGTAGCTGGGAAAATTTCCTACAAGTAAAGTTGAAAACTTTTGAAGCAGACCGATATGGTGAATTATTAGATAGACATGAACAATAATCTTGGTTTTACCATAGTAATTCCCATAAAAACTACAAATGGTTTGTTTCTCACCAAATGGCTTCAAATTTTGAGAGGTTAGTCAGGATCCGATTTGGAATCGTTTAAGTATTGTGGAGCGTAAATTTCAAATTTTGCATCACTCTAGTGATCAGTAACGGCATTTAACAAAGGTAAAATTGTTTGAAAGATTGTTTGAAACAAATGCAAGGCTGTTACAACAGGCGCGAATTTCGCAGATTTCGCGATTTTCGCGGATTTGTCGTGGATTTGAACTTTCAGTTGCGAAAATCGTGGAAACATTAAATGATGTCGTGAAAATCGCGAAGGGACTAATGTGCTGTCTGAAATGATTCCGGAGATCAAGACTAATTCAATATCTGTAGTATCGAAATATTCCCAAACAAATGTGCAGTGTCTATGTGGATCATGCCAACCTATTTCCGTGTATGCCAAATGTTCTAGGATTTCCATATCGATATTTAGATACTACAGATATTATCCTAGTCTTTGTTGATCTAGTAAAACAAATCATCTGAACTGCTGGACGATTTGGAGAGCCAAGATCATCTGGTATACGTAGAAATAATTAAACATTATCCATATAGACACTATTGTAACGGTAGACATTTTCGTTAGATTATATTTTTGTTACTTGTTCTTATTTATTTTCAAATATCCATTCTTAGATTAATCGTCGTTCAATTTGTAATATTAACTTAAATGAACTGAAAGTAATCTAAATGAAACGAATTGTAGTTTGCAACTTGTATGCAAGTCAGTTGCCTACGCGTAAAGAGGTTAGCGAAACGTATTGCTTACGTAGCTTCTCCGAAGAGTTTCACCATTCGTGTTTTTCGTTACTCGGATAGAGAAAACCGAATAGGATAGTTCTGAGAGTTGTTAGCAGTAGAAGGGAACAAGATAGACAGACCGAGTTCGATTGAAGAGGGAAAGAGATACTTCATTTGATCTTTCACGATCGTAACTAATGAAATCAGTTGAACTTCCATTTCCGGTAATCATGCCTTGGGACTTTTCTGAGGAAATTCAGTAATCGCCTCTTTCACTTTGATCCTGACTGTGATAGAAGAAGGGCGCGATTCTGTAGTTTTTTTCGCGGTGTGATTGGTTAGTTGTAGAAAACGTGAAGTGTCCTCAGATGTATTTTAATCGATTCTATGTTCCCCGTATAGGCTAAAGCTAGATAGCATTATAGTGTTGTAATTGTTGTGCGAGAGTTGTGTAAGCGTTCCAGATAACGGCAAGGTAAAACCAATTTACGAAATTTGTGTGTGCCGATAATAGGTTAATTGTGTCGTTTGCACGGTCAACGACTTTCCGCGTGTTCGCTTTCTATAGGATTCAACAGCCAACAAAGCGACCGTTGATCAATAGCGCTGCCTCGCACCGCGGCTCTACTTATTGTCGCCAACCCTTACCACGCTCGGGTATCAAAGCTTCCCGGTTGCCTATCAGAAGGGAGTTGCTTACGTTTCCAAGGCACTCCGGCTAACGTCCAGCAAGCCACCATCCGCTGACTGAGTTCGGCAACTAAGAAACTTCAAGCGCAGTAGGAGGACATCAGCCGTCGTTGCAACGACGGCATCGGTTGGGCGAAAGCCCGTAAAGCTCGCCAACGTAAGCTTCAAATCCTGTAAGTAGCGAACCCACACTTGCATGCAAGGCCGTTAGCACGGACACAGAATGATAGTGCGCTAGGCGAATAGTCCATCGACCGCACTAGTCAGATAGAAAGATAGAGGGGAACAGTAGTTAGGCCGGCCAGAACCAAGATTGTAGATATGTGAATAAAAAACCCTATAGATAAACTAAATTAAAGTAGAATGTTCACTCCCAAAATAAATCAGTGTTCAGTGTTAGAAAGTTTTGATTGAGAGAGTCTGAAGGTTATTTCACGTTTCGTTCATCATGTATAGTCTTTTTCCGTTGAATTTGTTGTGTTACTCGTCTTCAAAATCAAGCTCGAGTTGATGGGTCAGAGGGATTGCTTCCTGTGATGATACACCTGTTCGGATTGGTTTTCGGGATTGGAAGTTTTTCGGACTCGGTAGTTAGGATCTTGGGATTTCGGTGGGTATGCTCTCATCTTTCTTGAGTCACTCGGCTCAGTTGGTCTTGTTCCCGACACTGTTGACGAATTTGAGAACTGGCTCATTTGGCCAGTATCTAGCCGGGCATCGTGAAACACGACAGGTGGTCCTCTTCGGAGGTGGCGCTTAAGCCATCCGTTTATGAAACCTATCGGGAACAAACAACAGCACCGTAGCTGCCTCGGGGCCGCTACATATTGGCGCCCAACGTAAAATAAGAATTTTGATGTTTTTTTTTTGGTAATTTTTTTCCAAATGAAAATTAGTGTAGATCGTGTAAATATGAATACAGTCCATTTTTTAATTAGGTTACATGTTTAGGTTACGAAAATTTAGTATGAGTTAGAATTTTCTTTCGGATTTCAGTGAATTCAGGCAAAAACTTGGTAATTTATTTCGGAAAACGTTGTGAACTTGGTTGTGAATGAACTCAGGTTTCACTGTATACATATTTATCTTAAGTTTGGTGTTTTTCATTTATATATTTTACTGCTAAGTTGTGATAGAATTGAGTTTTGCTATTTTTTTTTTTCTAAGGCTTACGTGTTTGGGTTGATTTGTGGAAATGGCTACGAAATTCCCACGCGCAGCACATTTGCTAAACGATGAGGTAAATTATGAGTTCAAGTTGAGAAATTATGGGGAGGAGTGTAGTAAAAGTCTTGAATCAAAACAAAGACTGCTGAGAAGGTTGTTTCGTAAGGATGCTAAAGAGAACAGAGAGTATCGCTCAAGGTACTCCATTGTTCAGGAATGTGAAGTGATCGCTCAGCGAATTGAGGAGATTAGTATAGCTTTAGCTCAAACTCATGATGTGAAACTAATTTCCCGTCTAAAACATTATTATTTAAGAACAAAACGAAGCAATGCTCAGACTGAGGAAGCAGAAACGATGAAGAATGGGTTGTCGAATAGGATAAACGCTCTACTGATCGCGAATAGTTCGCTAACCGGCGAGAATCACAAACACGAGTCGGGTTCCGAGTCAACAAGCAATGAATCCACTGACTTTGAAATTTCGGATACGGAAATAGGCGCGACAGCATCGAAAAATAAGAAGAAAGTTAAGAAATCAAAGAAAAAACACAAGAGAATGAGGATGACTGCGCCAAACTCGAACGTAAGGTTCTAGGTCTCGAAGTTCAAATGGTGGAGCTTAAGAAAATGCTTCAACAGGTATTGAGTCTCAGTCAGTCATCGCAGAGAAACCAATTACCACAGCAGCCGAGCAGGACAGTTCAGGAAAACCGAACGGGAACGGTACCCAAAGGTGGACGACCGCAGGATCTACAACCGGAAAATGCGTATTCAGAAGCAAACCCAGTAGGACAGTTAGGAGGGGTTCAAACTCAGTACGAAAGCTTGTTCTCAGTGAATGATCTGGGAAACAATTCCGGACGAAACATTGTGGGACAGCAGAATAATGGTTGGTTTCTTGGATACAACCATGGAAATGACTTAGCAGGATTTTCTCCCCAGGGACCTCCGGAAAATAGGGATCGTAGGAGCCTCATTCAGAGGGACACCCGAGGGTCAAATCCAGGAGGAAATTTCAATCAGGGGGTACAGGAACAACAAACGCGATACAACACGATCGAAAACCAAAGGGGACCATTTACCGGGATTAGTCAGCAAAGGTGGCCAGACGGACTTCAAAGAGATGAACGCGTTAGTGACGGAAGTGAGCGAACTCAGGGTTTTCCTAATGCTTCGGATGTTCCGATATGGAACAGGAACCAATACCGAGAGAACCGAATGCAGTATGATAGGAAAATAGAAAAATGGAACATTTTCTT